TCAATTACTACGTTAAATGCAGGAGATTATACAAAGATTATAAAATTAGACTTCAGAAGCATGACCCAACTATATGCCATCTGTGAGAATTTCACTTTGAAAGTAATTTGTAAGTTACGTCTAAGTATACAGAAAGATAAATCAGACACACGCTAATCAAGAGAAAGCTGGGCAGCTATATTACTATGGAAGTAGACTTTTAAAGTAAAGGGTAGTACCAGAGATAAAGGGATGAGAGAGGATCAGTTCATGAGGAAGACATACAATCCTAACTACTTACGTACCTCACAACAGAACTTACAAGTAAATGAGCAAAAACCAATAGAACTACTGGAAGGAGAGCCTGACATTTATAATTAAATGGATTTCATCATGCAATTGATAAAACAATCAGTTGGTAAGATATAGTAGGTTTAAGGCCATCATCCTGTTTAACCTTACATTTAGAAAGCATTCCAAACAAACTTTTTTTACATGCATGTGCAATGTTTAAAGATAGACCATTTGTGTATCAAAAACCTGTCTCAATAAAAAATACTTACAGATTTTACATTTAGAGCACTTCTAGGTTTATAGAAGTGTTAATAAATTTTAAAGGATGACTCTGAGCAGATAACATTTTATAACCCCAGCAGAGTTAAATTAGAAATCAATCACATTATCTGGAGAATCTTCCAAACTCTTAGAAATTAAACAACACACTTCATTTAGAAAGATTAGTTAAATCTTTTCTTAGTGAAGCCACAAAAGATTAGAATATGTTTTGAACTGAATGGAAATCAACTGGTAGGATGCAGCTAAAGCAATGTTTGAGGCAAACTTACAGTATTAAATGTTTACACTTAGTAAAGAACAAACTTCTGATATCTAACTTTTATCTTGAGAGATTAGAAAATATCCAGTGAAATCTGCACATAAGAAGGGAGCAAATAATAAAGATATGAGTAGAAATCTATAAAATACAAAACAGATAAACAGAGGAAAATCAACTGACAAAGATCAGTAAAACTGATTAATCTCTAGCTGAGCTGGTCGAGGAAAAAGAGAGAAGACACAGTTTATTAACTTTATCTGTAGGAAAGAAGGGCATTCCCCACATAATCAGTATAAGAACAGCTTTGTGAAAATAGACTCAGTAGGGTATATGGCGTGTGAAAAATGAGAAGGCCACAAACCAGATCAGTGTTCGCCTGTGGGGGCAGCAGGGGCAGGGTTTGCACTGACGGGGAGGGGAGCACTGGGAGCTTGCTGGGATTTAAAATATTATTTTAAAATTAATATTATATGAATACCTCTTACTTGCCCCGGATCTTTATTAAATGACATCTCCAAAGTGTCCTCCCACCCCCCAAGAAAAACACATGCTAATTTTCCCTCTGGCTAGATGGAATCAGCTGCAGCTCTGCCGGGCATTTCAGCCTTCTGTGCTGAGAGCACACACTGGTGCACCTGGAGGTTGCTCGTGTCGAGGTGGGTTTCTTCCATCTTCCACCTTCATCCAGGCGCACCAGACTGTTCCCTGTGGAGGAACAATCTACCTATTGCTCAGTGCTTCCAATAACAAGCAACAAAATATTGAAGACTCTATCTTTCTGTGCTGTGTTTACTGCATTTCCCTGAATACTTCCCTTCGCCCATAAATGAAGGCATAAATGTCTTTACTGCTGGGTTAGTTTGTGTGACCTCAGGTAGTTGATGCTGATGTGCTTTTTAAGTTATTAGCTAGTTTCTAATGAGTCAAAACTCTTGCCTGCCGTTTTATACTTTTATAAATAAATAAGTAGACTAGCAGAATGCAGGCACTCTATATTTCTCTATTTAATCTGAGCTGAATATCCACAGGGCTCAAGAAGTCCAAGAATTTCAAAACTGTGTTACAGTAAAATCCAGCTGTTTTGCAGCCTCCCCCCGCATCAGGCTGTTTCCCGAAGCTGCTCCTCACAGACACCCATCTTCCTAAAGAGATGCTCATTCCAGCTTTTGTATATCCATGTTTCCAGAGAAATGCCTAGCTTTTGATTCATTCATTTAAACATTTATGGATTAAGTAATAGATTTCATTTGCTGCAACAGCCATCCCCTTTGCTTATCCTCCCTGCAGCTCCCTCCCCCAGTTCCTCTGTGCTTTCTGATTGAATCAGTGGTCATTGTTTACTTGCTCGTATACAGTCCCAGATAACGCACTGTTTCTGTTTTAGAATTTTTCCCTCTTAATAACTGCCTTTTCTCCTTTGTGCGGGTTTCTGTAGACCTGTTTATAATTCTTTTCCTACCTTCTTGTAAGCCTCTTAGAGCAATTTTCTACCAAGTTAGTGTGCACTGTCTAGAAAATATATATAATATAACACATACGTAATCTCGCCTTTTCTAGTGGCCACAGTAGAGTAAAAAGAAAGATAAATTAATACTGTATCTTATTTAACTTGATTTGTTCACATTGTTACTTTGACAGATACCAATATTTGAGATCCTTGACAATTTCACTGTCTTCTTGTGGAGCCAAGTCTTCCGAATCCGGTGTGCGTGCCCCGCCTGCAGAGCACCTCTTCACCTCTCTCTCCTGGCCGGTGGCTGGAGGCTGGCATGCTGGCCAGAGTGCGAGCGTGTGCCAGGTTCGGCCTTTTCACGCAGACAGCCTCCACCCATCTGAGCCCGTAGCCCTGCCACACCGAGCTGTCCTCCCAACACCCCCTTTGCTCTTCTAGATTAGAATCCCCTCCTTGAACTTCAGGTCTTCTCACTAGCAGTTAGTCTGGGGAAGGAGGCTCGTTGCTGACGCTGATCTCTGGAGTCACACTGGCAAGAACCTGAGAAGTTCCTCAAATTTTGTAGAAGTTCCCTTGGCTTCTTCTACAACCTGGTGTATTCTTTCACTCAGATGAAAGACATGCAGAGGAAAGGGAGCGCGGCTATAGCTCAGTGGCACAGAGCCTGCCTGGCAAGCGCAAGGTCCTGAGTTCCATTCCTGGTACCAAAAAAAAAGAAAAGAAAGGGAGCACGGGTGGTAGAGTTCGTGAGACTGCGTGTGGCAGGAAGTGTTTTCATTGTCCCTTCTCACTTGGTGACTGTTGGGCAGGGTGTAGGACTCCAGTCTGGAACTCATTTTTCTTCGGAATCTTGAAGGCATTGGTCCCTTGCTGGCCAGTGTTCAGTGCAGGTCTTAAAAGCCAGAAACCATCCTAGTCACCTTTTCCTTTGAAAGTGATGTCATCACAGAAACACAGAATGTTCTCTTTGTGCATGCTTATCAGTGTGATGGCACTTGACGGTCTGAAAGATTGCCTTGAATCAGTTTTTGATGTTTTCTTTCCTTGTATTTTTATTTTGGTTTGTTTGTTTATATTGGGCTTTACTCTTGAGGGGGGATTTCTTCTACTTTTATCTGACTGTTTAGCTGAACTTGTCGTTTTTTGCTGTCTGAAGCTTCAAGAGATGTTTGTTTCTCTTCTGTAGCATTTTGTCTTTAGTTTATAGATACAAGATTTTGTCTTTCTTCTGGGTGTGTATTAGTAATACGTCTTTTAAATCTTCCTCTTCTGTGCAGTTTTTCCTCCAAGGGGCTTTTCTCCGGTTTGGGTTTTTCTGTTTGATTTTCCTGTCTTCTGTGGTGCTTGCATAGGATGGAGAAGATGAGCCTATGGCCTCTCCTGCAGGTGAAGAGCCCCAAGCAGGTGAGAGAGGCCTGGCAACACCGTGCAGGTCAAGGGCCTCGAAGTGGCTAGGAGTTCCACACCCTGGTGATAGTGTATTTGTCTTTCCTCTTGTCTGGTCAGACGGCTGGCCGTGCTCCTGCCTTGAGGTGGGCGGGTTGAGCTGCCCGCAGTGAGAACTTGATGAGGCTCACTCATCAAGGCCGGAGTCCCAGTGCTCAGCATGTACGTAGCGGTCATTTGCACCCTGTTTTGGGGTGGAGAATTTACACTTTCCACTGTGCCAATCTAGCTCCAGTCCAGAGACCTTCTGATTTACTTTTTCCAAAGAGTACATCTCCGGATTTCTGCAGAAGTGTGAGTTGGCTGAGCAGTTGGTGTTAGGGGGTGGCATCTGGCTCTTCTCAGCTCCACACACCCACAGAGAACCCCACCCCTCCTTCCATGACGGCACTGCTTCAGGCGCCCCGTGAGGACTCTGGGGTGCACGTGTGGGGCAGTTCTTGGCTTTCCCTCTGCTAGTTGGAACTGGCCTGCCAAACCACTAAGCAGCCTGATTTCCGGCCTCCAGAATCCCGTTACTGTTGTCTCTTCTCCCCTTATGGATTTGTCTTTTTTTTTTTTTAAGTTGTGTAAGATTTATAAAACATAAAATTTACCACTGTAACCATTTTTAGACGTACAGTGTAGTGTCGGTAAGTACATTCCCCTCTGCTGTGTGTGCGGTCTTATGACAGCAAGAACAGATCTCGGGTAGGGATTGTGTGCCAGGAGCGCAGTGGTGTTCCAGGAGAGCAGAGGCAGGCGTGTGTGTCTCTCCTGGCACGGGACTTCTGTGTGTCTGGGGTGGTGGGGTTTGTCTCCCTCCTGGGAGAGCAGTTGGGTAGTTTGTTGGCATAAACGTCCCTTTAAAAAGTTCCAGTTGGAGCTCTCAGGCCAGGCATTCCAGGTGCTTCAAGATCGGGCCTGCCCACCCATGTCCTCCCGCCGTCTGTCGTTCCTCCTGCTGCCCACTCACTGTTCCTGGCTTGTGACAGCTCCACAGCCCCCTCGCCTCTGCCAGGCGGGTGCTCCCAGCTGAACCGCCCCCCCTGCTGTCTGCCTCCTTCCTCGCGTGCCCAGCTCCATCCTGCGCCACGGCCTCTGCCCCAGCCTTCGGTTGTTCCTCCTTTGCCTCCCTCCCTTGTGCACATCTCCGAGCAGTCACCTTTCCCTCTCCGCACCGCCTGGCCCTTTTGGGTGTCTGTTTCTGCCCGTACTGCCTGGCAGAAAGCCCACGTGCAGTTGAGTGGCTGGATGGGTTCCTGATGCCGGGGATTTAAAAAGAGAACTCTTTATCCTCTCTTGTAGGACATCCGACATGAGGCCAGTGACTTCCCCTGTAGAGTGGCTAAGCTTCCCAAGAACAAAAACCGAAACAGGTACCGAGATGTCAGTCCCTGTAAGTATCCGCGCAGCCTCCGGGGTTCGCTCTGCTCCCTACAGGCCCTCTCCACCCAGACGTCCTTCACCCTGGGGGCCAGATAAGCGCACAGCCGTTCAGAGATTCATGACTTGATCGGTTCCTGTACGTGGGCATTAGAGACTTACAGTAATAGTTCCTTTTTCCACCATTGTAGAAAAGGTAAGGTTTCAGTTTGTGGAAAATTCAGCAAAGTTCAAAGCATTTTTTTTAGCTTTGACTATTTTGTGATGAGTCATTTTCCTACCAGCTGAAGCAGAGCGTAGCAGGCCAATGCAACCTTTCCTTGGTGACTCAGCCATATATTCTTAGCCCCCAGCGCTGTGTTGAACCTTGGCGATGCCCCACACAGGGACGCAGAGTTGGAGCTGTCACCCCTCCAGCAGACACACCCCTTCCCTGCCACCCCTGCCCACTCTGTCCTTCGCTGTGACGGCACTCACTTCTGTGACTGCCAGTGCGCCTGTTGCCTCAGCCTCCTGCCTTCTGAGGATTGGCTCCAGGATCTTGAAAGTAAATAGCTGAATGTGTTAGAATTCGTGTGACACACAAAAACCGTGAGCTGAGTTCAGGGCCCGAGCTTTATCATATCCACTAGGCTACAGAAGCCTTTTGAACCCCCCTCTAGGGCTGGTAGACAAGAGTCAGGACAGAGGCTGCGACATCTCTGTGGCATTTGCTCAGATTCCTGCGGGATGTTAAAATGGATGTCTGTGCCTTATGACCTGTGCCTTATGGCCTGCCACCATGGTTCCTTGCCTGAGTTTACATCTCACTTTGGCCCCTTAGAACTGTGTGGCTTTGTTTGGCTTTGTTTTGTTTTGTTTTTTTCCAGTACCGGCACTCGAACTCACTACCTTGAGCTTGCCAGGCTGGCGCTGTGCCACTGAGCTAAATCCCCAGCCCCACTGTGTGGCTTTGGACAAATTGTTCCCTCCCCCTGTTGTGTGTAAAGCAGGAGTTGCACCTCCCAGGAGTGTGTGCCGATGAAATGAAGCAGCACAGGCACATAGCCCAGATGTAGTAAGTGCGCGGTAAATATTGGCCGCCAGGACATCTGAAGTGCAGTACCGGGTGCTCAGGCGACGCTGGACTGCCACCAGCGCCTGGTGCCCTTGACTTAACGTGTCTAGGCTGAAGTGCCTAGTTTAGTTTAAAAACAGCAACAAAAATAAAAATCCTGGGTGATTCTACCATGAAGTCCTGGCTGGAAACTTGTGCCTGCAGATGTGCATGTGACAGAACGGTCGCCGTTTGCCTCTTTCACACAGCGCGGCACCGGGATTCCCAGGTTGCTCGCTGTCGCTGTGCTTTTCTGAACTGAGGCGTAGCACTGACTGCAATACTCCTCTGCTGTGTTTTTAACAATTTCTCACCTAAATAGTTTCGGAGCCAGTTTTACTTTTACAGCATTTAAAATATTCTTCCTCAGAAACAATCTCCAACATTTTCACCTCAGTCTCATTCCTCATACTTTTTGTTCCTCTCCCACCCACAACTTCCAGTGAAAAAGATGATTCGCCGTTCATGTTGTGAGGGAAAGGAGAGAACAGCTCTAGGTCAGAGGTCACCTGCTCCCCAGTTCCCGGTGCCCACGGTGACGACAGCAGCTCTTGGCCTTGTGCCTGCTGCTGGGTTCTGTGCAGAGCGCTCGCTGGCCCTTCCCACAGCCTTCCGCTTCCCTTGCCTTTGGCAGGTGAGGAGACAAGGCCCAGAGGACAACGGTTTGCCCAAGGTCTCCGGTGCTGTTTGAACCCACTGAACACACCAGTTCTGGTCACATGAATTTTTTTAAATTTTTTTTTATCGTGATGATACACTTAGAAATCACCCAAGAGTCTCAGTTTCTGTTAGCCCTCCATGGTGAGAAATAGTACTCAAGAGCAGCTCATTTAAAAAAAAATAGTCTCTTTGCGCTAGGAGCAAAAGTCCCACACCACGGATTCCCAGTGACTCGTCCTTTTCCCGGCCTCAGGGGGGAGGTGCTGTTTCTGGGAGGTCATCCGAGTCCACCGGCCTTTGTTTCATGCCACAGGTGGTAGTGCCCACCTGCTCTTGTTAGCCAGCAGCTTTCAGGGACCACTGCTTTGTGACAAAGTAGTGATGAGAGAAAAAGTGGTTTTGGTTTTTAAATAATCTGGTGTACAACTTCCAAATGAAATGTATTTCAAAAAACTAATCTCAAAGTTACATTTATATACATTCGGTGTTTTGGGTTTTTTTTTTTTCCCAGAACATGTAAATTCTCTTTTAAATGTCTTTACTGGTGACATTTGAAAGATTTAGAGTCATTTAAGGTCATTATATTTGAGTTTAAAAGGAACAGAAGCACTGTGTAAAGGAGCTCAAGGTGGGTCTGCTGCTGTGTGCTCAGGTCCTTGCTCTCCAGTCTGCTGGCCAGAGTTGGGATTGAGCTGCACCCACAGCTGCCAGCTCATTGTGCAGGTCCCTGCTGGGGGCACTGGGTGGAATTTGGGGTGAATTTTGTTCTCTTTCAAAGATTGAAGCCATTCTGCCTCTTGCCTGATGGAAGTTTATGTTCAGCGCCAGAGAACAGAGCCTGTGATGCCCCCGCTGGTCTGCCGCGTGCGTGAGAGTGACGGGCACCGCAGGAAGACAGGGCCGAAGGACAGACTTCCAAGGAGGGCCTAATCCAGGGCTGACTGTGGCTTATTGCTGGTGCTGTTTAGTGTTAGCTTTCAAACGCTTCAGGGAAGCCTTCCAGAGAATGACAGTCACCCCCATAGAGGACTGCTGCCACCTAGCACAGCAGGCCTCAGCTGGTGTGAATGCCTTAATGGCGTGGGTTCCCCTTCTCTGCTTGCCTGTGGAGACGCTGACCCTCCAAGGATTAACCTTGAGTTCTGGTTCGCCTTTCAGTTGACCATAGTCGGATTAAACTACATCAAGAAGATAACGACTATATCAATGCTAGTTTGATAAAAATGGAAGAAGCCCAGAGGAGTTACATTCTCACCCAGGTAAACAGATTATCTGAATTTATTTTAAATGTCACCTTAAAAAGTTCTAGAATGCTTTTGTTTATACTGTGAATAAAATCTGCCATGTCTGTGAGGACATCAGGTTTTTAACAAACCAAAACAAGACGGGCAACAGCAACAAGACGGGGGAAAAAAAAATTCCTGCAGAGACGGAGTTTGGTCGTAACACGGATACTTTCCAGGAAGTATGAAGTAAGTGAGTGGGACCAGGCATGTAATCACACCTGTAATCCAGCACACTAGAGCCTGAGGCAGGAGGATCATTGTGAGTTCGAGGCCAGCCTGGGCTACCTAGTGAGTTCCAAGACCAGCCTGAACTGCACAGCGAGACACTCTCTCTAAAAAGAAAAGGAAGGAAGGAAGGAGTGACCGGGAGTAAGGGCATCTAGGAGGCAGCCCTGAGTCACGGAGGCCTGTGGACAGGGGCAGCAGAGCCCTGACTAGAGGAGGCCTGGGCTGATCCTGGAAGGGTTTGTCTCTGTGGTGAGCACTTCCGGTAGCAGATCTCAGAGGGCAGCAGGAGGCCAGGCATCTCTACCCAGAGAGCACTAAGAATTCCTCACTGTGGGCCACATTCTTTGGCATAGAAAAAAGATAAGCATCACTAGAGGATATGAACAAGCATGAAAAAGCACTTAAAATTCATATTGGCTTTTGGCATTCTTCTGGGGAAAAAAGTCATGAAAGTGGTTTAATAATCAAGCCTCTTATAAAACAATGATATGAGACCAAATGACCATGAGCATCTGGGGAAATGGACAAAGCAGTTTATTTTTAATTAATTTTCTCTAGTCGTAACTTGTTACCCATACGTTGGTATACACTTGAGTATTTTGTTTTGTTTTTCCTCATAAGTTTTGTCTTTTCAAGTCCATGTTGGTTCACCAGTCTCATGTGTGGCTTAGGCTGTGAGTGACGTTAAACATCACAATTCTGTTTCACATACGGAAATTAAAACGCTGGTGAAGCAGAAAGCTTTCTGAACAAAGGCTGCTCTGGGCGGGCAGCTGGACCCAGGGTACCCCCTGGTCTTCCCTCACTCCCTTCTCACCCCATCCCGATTCTTCCCTGTGCGTGACCTGGATCAACCCAGATGCCTCCCAGCCGCGTGTATAGCATCAGCCCGGATGCACGGAGGGCAGTCTCTCTGCACCTCTGGGTGTTAGGGGTGAGCTTTTGGGGCTGGGGTTCGGAAGGAAGCTGCCTGCAGAGGTCGACGCACAAATAGCTTCTTTTAGAGAAGTCAGATTTCTTCCCGATTGCAGCCATTTAGCTTTGATGTGGTCATGAAGCCCTCTGTATACCCACGGTAGGGTATCTTACCAAATGGAGCATTAAGAAAGTACATGGAAGCTTACAGTGCTGTCCTCCCTGTCCCTGTGGCATCCATCCCTTTTGTGACGTGGTGCCATGGGTGTTGGGAGGCTGCTTACGTTTCCCCTTCGCCCTGGGATTTTCAGAAGGAATCAGCAGTCTGGCCCCAAGATAACAGTTATAGACCAGATGACTGAGATGTTTTCTAAGCCACTAAACCAACAAAACCCTTCCTGTTTTTTAGTTTCAGTGTTGTTCATTACGCAAATAACACGAGTCTGTATTCTCATTTTGTAAACGAGTAAGGTTGTAGGTGCCGTCCCGCACCTCCCCCAGGAAGTGTCAGCAAGTAGGTGCGCATCTTTCAGGTCTCAGCTGGGTGTAACCCTTCAGGCTCCTTTTAAACTGGGCAGTGTCGGGACAGAGGGTAAGAGGTGAGTAACCAAGAGCCTGGAGAGCTGCAGCTGTGCAGGGCCTGGCAACTGGGGTCTTCTTGCTAAGGCTGGAGGATGAGAAGCCCAGGTGGCCAGCAAGGTGCCACGTGACTTGCACCTGCCGAGACTGTCTTTCCTTTTGCCATGTTTGTGGTCACTGTTGTCTGAGTCCCTGTGGCACTTACTCAGACACAGATGGGACCTGTGTGGTTGAGGTAGCTGATCTGCGCGGGGTCCAGGAAGAAGCGAGAGGGTACTGCAGGCTGTGGCGGTCAAGGAAAGTGTGCGGAGCGCAGAGAGAAAGTGCGAAGACTGAGGGTGAGAACGGAAACCATTCTAGAAGTGGTGCTGGCCCGAGGCAGTGACAAGCCCCGAACCGCAGGGCGCGGGAGGTGACCAGTGACGTCCTTCCCAGGCAGTGCTCACACTGGGAGGGACTCAAGGCGTCCACACTGTGTGTCCAGGAAACACCTGCCGGGCTGGAGTTAGACAGGCAGCTCCTCACCAAGCACCCGCCATTCCCCAGTGACACCGACGCCCTTGGGCCACCTGAACAACCATTTGTGTGTCCGCATCTCTTAGATCCTCGGTCCGAGGACGAAGGCTGTCTGCAGTCAGGTCCATCGTTAGTAGTAAGAACAGTAGCTCACACTGTATTGGGTGCTTGCATCCCAGGGGCTGCACCGAGTCCTTCACAGGTATGAATATAGTTAAATTTTCACAACCCTATGAAGAGGTATTATTTTTAGTCGAGTGAGACAGATGGGGAAATCGAGGCATGGAGAGGCAAAACCACTTGCCTGAGATGGCAAGATGACTGATTAGTGATTGGTCACTGCCCAGTCCTCCCACTGCCCTGCTCCCAGTTGTGGTGTCCCACGTTCCACCTGCCTTTAGGGAGGGGAGCCCCACAGCCAGCTGCCCACCTGGGGACGCAGAAGTGGCGAGAATGGCCGGCCACTGTGTGGGAGACCTTAGAACGGCTGCTGCTGCTCACTAGGCAGGGAGAGACCGGCACTGCGCCTGAGCTGATGATGACTCGGGACTCTTGTCACCTGGCAACCGCCAAAGGTGAGCGCGCACCAGTGATTGTGCCTCCAGTGTCACACACCGTATAATTTGTGTTTGCAGGGCCCTCTGCCCAACACATGCGGGCACTTCTGGGAGATGGTGTGGGAGCAGAAGAGCAGGGGCGTGGTCATGCTCAACCGAGTGATAGAGAAAGGGTCGGTAAGTTGTACCCTGGTTTCCTCTTGCCCTCGCTGTTTGCTGGCCCATAGAGTTATGTTTTTATCCAAGTTGCCATATTTTCTTATTGCTTCTGTACTACTCTCCTGCGGTATTTTTTTAACTTAAAAAAATTAAAGAAACAGTATACAAATACAGATTTGTTGCAAGCAAGGCAATGAAGTGAATAAAGGTGAAAAAGGTAAGCTTGCCCTCGACTCATTACCCGGGCCCCTGCATCAGGCTCTGCAGAGCTTGCTGCGGTCATTCTGTGCCATTCTCTGCCGTGCTTCCTGCGCGGAAGTCACTGTATCAGGCAGTTGGCTCAACATAGTTGTTCTTGAAAGGCACTGTTCTAGTGTGTCCGTCTTCACTGTACCCACCTTTCTGGCTTGTCATCGTGTGACTCCTGTGGACGTACAGAGGTCGCTCTGTGCGGCTGTGGGAGCGGCTGGCCGCCAGGTGCGCAGATTTCCTCCACGCTGCCTCACGAGGAGTATCGTCTGCTGTGCAAATGGTGCCCGTCAGGTGCTGTATCATTTTGAGTTCTTTGCGACTCTTAGATATGCCCCTCTGCGCTCTCCCTGTGGTCACCTCCTGCTTCTCTGCTTGCCACCCTCTGTCCATTCTGCCCCCCACTTCTAGAGCGGCCTTTCTCACTCTCTCCTGGAAGGACAGTGTGTGGTGTGGCTTGTAGAAGCGTGCTTGTCTGGCCCTGCTTACCCACCCTCCGTGAGGCTCCAGACTCCAGCAGGGACAGGCTTTCTTTTTTCACCTCTCCCCTGGGCCAGGAGTACATCACAGTGCCCACCTCTGTCTCACGTCCGTGTCACCCCAGGTTGCTGCAGTCAGTCCCCCGGCCCTTCTCTCCTTCGCCCCTGTCCCTCCTGTGTTTGCTCCTTGACGCTTCTCTCTTCTGTAAGAGCGACTTTGTGGGCAGGGCCCAAGGCCGGTGTTCAGCAGCCACAGCAGCTCCTTATCCCTCCCTGGGCTCTGCTAGCACGTCAGGGGTTTCCAGCTTCAGGGGTAGAGCCCCGGGGAAGATGCTGTGAGGACTGTGGGGCCCGATCAGGAAGTGTGGGCTGGAGCAGAGAACTGGGTGTCCCTGGGGCTCGCCAGATCTGTTGTGCTCTCCAGGGCCGGGCGGGGCACGGTTCACTCCGCAGTCCCGGCTGCCTTGGGTCTGCCAGAGCAAGAGGGCTCCAGAGAAGCCGCCCCTGAAGGAAACCCAGGCATGGCCCAGAGAATGAAAAGTACAAGTGCGAAGAAGGAGCACATCAGAGGGAACTTCGCAGAGAGGGCTTGAAGCACTGGCCGCAAAGCTGCTTCCTTCCCAGTCACTCGCAGAAGCAGCCCTCCCGGACAGTGCGCATGGGAGGCCACGCTCCGGAGTGTTGCCGTGCCTTGCCCCTTCCCGTGGTGTAAAACACGAACGTGTGTGTTGCACACGTTGCGTGGGAACAGATACGGAGTCTGCCTCCGTGTTCAGTGGAGGAAACGATGCTTCTCACTTTAGGAAATACTTTTTCAGTGCAAGTGACTTTTCAGTATTTTCTCTCCGTCTGTGGCTTGATTAGTAAAATGTAAAGTTGCAGATGTGAAACAGCCCCTGTTGTTTCCCAGTGCCGTCAGCAGTTATGAATAAAGGCACGAACCGTTAGGGTCCCACAGCCCACACTTTCTCTGCAGGGGAATTTGCTGTGTGTGGTGTGGAGACGGCGCATTTGTCTCTGGACGTCACGTTTGGACTCGGTCCACTGCGTTCTGCGGGACCTTCGGCAGCATCGCTGGCCACTGCCCACCAGTCGTACCCCAGCCCCAGAGCCAACCACCACACGTCTCCACAGCTCCACACTTTGTCCACTGTCCCCTGGGGGAGCCTTCGGTCCCTTTGTGCAGCGTCCTGCTCTAGATGATATTGAGGGCTGGAAATTTAAAGCCAAAATATTTATTCAGAAACCATCAGATGCGGGATTTGCCTTTTCTTTTCTAATTTGTTTGTTGCTAGAAGCTCCAGTAGTGCCTCTTGGCTGTCAGCACACAGTTGGCGGTAGCAACCGTTGTGCAGTGCGCGTTCGTCAGCAGGCCCTGCTGCTTTGTCTCCCACCCATGGCTCACCGTCAGTAGGCCACGGAGCCACTCTCCCAGGCTTTCCCCGGGCTTCCTGTGTCGACCGTCGAAAGCCGTGGCTGATGGGCCTACTGCAGTTCACTGTGAAGCGGGGGCAGTAGTTCTTGTTTTCCTTGGTGCCTATTCCTCTGCGCTGGGGCCTTTCAAGCATTCAGATTGGTGTGAAAAGCAGTGTATGGTTTGAGAGTCTTAAAGTTTCTTTGGTATCAACATTTTCAATTCTGCGTCAGCATTCTCACCCCCAAGGGGCAGCCAGGAGGGACGCGGGGAGCGGCAGCAAGCACTGCTCCTTGCCTCCCCACAGCCTGTGGTAAAAGCGGCTCACCCTGAGAGTTCCCTTGGACGCACATTGCTCTCTGGTTTCCTTCCTTCACCAAATAGTGCAGGATGGCCGCTCTTGCTTTTGGCAAACCTGCCTGTTACCGGGTGTGCAGGGGATTGTGTGTGTTAGCTTGGGGTCATCCAAATGCCCCAAGCTTTCGTTGCTTCAGTTTTAAAATTGACTTCAGATGTGTCAACATGGAGTGTGCTTGTGTGTAAGGGTTGGAGGTGTTTGCGCAGGGAAAGTCCTCCAGGCCACTTTAATTTGCCATTCCAGCACGTGGCCCATTGGAGTCCTGGTGCTTTCATGCCCAGGACACTGCATTTTGGGTTAGCGTGAGGCACTTCAGGCTTCACACATCTCTCAGACTCTGCCCACTGAGTTCTCTGTGTTAATTCTTTGGGGCAGCCAAATCATCCATCTCAGGTCATGCAGATAACCTGCATGGGTTTTTCTTCAGATCGCCTAGCTGTTTGCTTTGAAAGGCCCCGGGGAACTCTTGCTAACATCCGACTTCATGGTGGACACAGCACTCTGGTGACACCAGTATGTTGGCATTGCCACAGTCCTTTCTAGGGTGCATCAAGAGAGAGTCCTGGAGAGGCATCGCTGTCTCGCAGTCTCCCACCAGGCTCCACTCTCAGCCCCATGGGCTGCTTTCTAATAAAGGCCGGGCTCCCGCTCTAGTTGCTGTGTGTTGGTGTGATAGGGCGACGAAATAGTGATCTTCGGCTTCCTTTGTATTGTTTTTATTTTGAGTCAGGGGCTCCCTGAATGGCACAGGCTGCCTTGAACTTAACCATATTTCTGCCTCAGCTTTTCAAATAGCTGGGATTATAGGCTTATGCCACCATGCCCAGGAAGTTCTTAAAATTAAATATTGAGTGGTGGGTGCTTGGTTTATGCCACAGTTTCTCCGTAATCTTAGTTTTGACCCAGATTACAAGATTAAGCTTTCCATTTGCTTCTGAGGGTGAGTGCTTGGCATAGAGAAGCGAGACTTAAATGAAGGCTTGCTGCCCTGCTCATGAGGAGAGATGTGCCAGCCTCCTCTGTAGCGATGGCCGTATCCTGCATTTTGCTCCCCTCTTTCTCTGCTCCCAGGTGGGCACCCACTTCAGCACAGGTGCCCATGAGCCCGTGGGGTCAGACTCTTTTTCTGGAGTCGTGAAGCATTAGAAAGTCTATGGGAACAAGTGCATCCTTTCCAGTTCTTCTGAGATCCTGTTCTCGGCTGCCCCTGGCACTCTGGCTCCAAGGGACCTTGGCATACAGTACATGCCTCTGTTCCTGACTGGTGACATTGCTTCCATGGTGACAGGTGGGCCCCATCCCAGAGGCTCCTCTGTGGCGGCCCATCGTCATTGTAGGGAAGTGACGCGGGTGGAACTGGCCAAGCTTTCAGACAGAGTGGCATCTGGGCCCTGGAGCAAGCCCTGTTGGCATCCATCCTGGCGCCGTGAAGTACGCTGCTACACGGGTGTCACACCCAGGCATTTCTTCATTAGTTTCTCTCGCTTTGTGCTGTTTGCTTTAGTTTTGTTTGGGGGTAACTTCCAGCCTCAGTGGAGCAGGACCAGGAGGCATCTGTGGTTCTGGCTTCACCTTCCTCAAGCGCTGCCTCCCTCCTCCTTTGTCCCCAGATAGTGGGGCAAGTTCCTGGGCACATTGTGGCCTTGGCTACACCAGGGACTTCCACAGGCCCCGTCTCCTGCTGCTGCCCTGAGCCTGGATCATCAGTCACTCCCCAGGCCGTCCTTGGAACCCTCCGGCCTGCCTGCTCCTCACCGCTCCCCCTCACCTCTCTTTCTTATAACTTGGGCCAGCCTAGAACATCTCCCTCCTCTGTTCCCATGGCACAGCTGCAGCATTTCCCCCTGAACATTCGCACCGTCCGCCTTGTCATTGCTGGGTCTGGCCACGAAGCAGTGCTGGCCGTGAAGCAGCTTCCTTCACGCGCGTCATCCTCTGCCCCAGCGGGGTAGCCGGTGGGTCAGGGCATGTGAGTTACAAGTGTCATTCACCAGAGCGCTGCCTGCACGTACACACTTGCTGACCTCTTCGGTTTCACCCGTCTGGGCTCCTTGTCAGTCGTGCTGGGAGCCTGGCTGCATAGCTCTGTCCACGAGCTATGTTTCCCCTTTGCCCTGGGACTTTCAGAAGGAGTCAGCAGTCTGGCCCCAGAATAGGGGTGTTGTTCCTGCTGTGTTGTCCAGCATGATCACCTCATGTAAAATGTCTGTGTAGCAAAAGGTCTCGTTCATGTAAAGATGCCACTAAATGTGAGTCCAGGCCCTTCCTTAAATTTCCAACGAAGCTTGGGGAGTGCTTATTTTAAAGAAAGCCTTAAAAGGGGCTGGGGATTTAGCTTAGCGGCCCAGCACCTGCCTGGCAAGCGCGAGGTCGTGAGTTCGGTTCCCGGTACCAGAAAAAAAAACAAAAAAAACAAAACAAAACAAAACTAAAGAAAGCCTTAATGATCTACATTTAAATCAGGATCATTAAGTAATTTCTGAAATTATCAAAGGAAAGCATCAGAAGTATTTTTATGAACTAAACTAAGCTGAAATGAAAGGTTGAGCCCAGGCCCCTCTAGGAGGCCCTGAATTACTTTGCGTCCGATCCCGCCCTTCAGCCTTTGAGAGGTGTTCTGCCAGCGGTCTCTTCAGCCCCGTTTTCCTTGCCTGTAGGTTTCTTCCCAGGGTGAGGTATCTGCTCTGCTGGCAGCTCCATCCGGCCTTGCTAACGGGTGAAATGGCTACAGAAAGGCACTTGTGCGAAGCAAAACCTTTTGCGCAGACGGGCCTCTCTCGTAGCTGGTGCGCTGGAGCCCAGCGGTGCCCCACTGCTGTTGGAAAACCAGGAGCTGCCGGGCGGGAAATGACAGCAGTCTGATCAGCATCCTCACAACCCTCCCGCTGTCCGGAGAGGCAGCGCCTGTGCTGACCGTGTCCTCCACACTCAACCTCGGGGCTTCACGCAGTCATCAAGCTCACGGAATGTGCTGCAAGCCCCTGTCTGAAGAAAACAGTTGCTTACAATAACCCGGTGTTATTTCCTCCCTTAGGTAAAATGTGCACAGTACTGGCCACAAAAAGAAAAGAAGGAGATGGTCTTTGATGACACAAATTTGAAATTAACCTTGATCTCGGAAGACGTCAAGTCGTATTACACAGTACGACAGCTAGAACTGGAAAACCCTACAGTAAGTGTGCCGTTGGCAGGTGCTGTTGGGTAGCGCCCCCCCCTTCGGGTGATGCCCCTCTTGCACCCTGCACAGAGGTGGTTTCGGCACCTTGGTAAACAGAGCTCACCTCACGTGAGCAGGGTGCCGGAGGTCGTGACTGCCTCCTCCCCTGCAGAGCTCTCCAGTAAAGGCAGTTTCTCCAGTAAAAATGCTCAGTCCTGCCTGGGCGACTGTGGCGGGAAGGATGAAGTGGTGGCCTGCAGGTTAAGTGCCAGCAGAGCGTGCGGCCATTCTCTGGCCCACTGATGCAAGGAAGGAGCCTCTCCCGGGCTCACTCCCCTTCACTGGCTGGTGGCGGTGTTCCAGGCGAGCTGTTGGGTTTATTTGCTGTAGGAAGAATTTGTAACACCAGCTGCGTCCTGCCACTAGAGGATGGTCTTGGACACAGCAAGGCACTGTGCTAAGAAGCCTCGCCACAGAAGGCCGTGCGTGAGCGTTCAGAATAATCCACCAGGAGCCGTGACTGAGGAGTCCAGGGGCACAGTGGGAGGGACTCAAAGCAGCCCCAGGGACACTGACAAACCTGATGGTCAGCCCCAGCGCCCAGGCCCAAACTGGCCAGGTTTGAATCCTTGCCTACCATTTCGGATTGTCAGGCTTGGAGCAAGGACAGCACCACTTCTACACAGTGGGGGATAGAGATCAGTGGCACAGCGCCTGCCTGGCAAACACAAGGTTCTGAGTTTGATTCCTGGTACCAAAAAAAAAAAAAAAAGATTATGTTAACTTGCAACACACTTCTATAACATTTATAGGCCAGGTGTGGTGGCGCATGCCTGTAATCCCAGCACTCGGGAGGCTGAGGCAGGAGGATTGCAGTGAGTTCAAGGCCAGCCTGAACTGCACAGTGAAACCCTGTCTCAAAAAAGACCAAAAAAGGAAAAAAAAAAAGGGACAGCACCACTTCTGTGTCTCCATCTCTTCTTGTCACTGAGGCTTCCCAGGGCGTCCAGTTGATCACATGTGCACAGGGGTCACAGGCCCCATGGTGCAGTAACGTGCTGTTGTGTGGGGAGGGAAGGAGGAGCAGGACCGCTTGAGTGGGGCTTGCTGGGCTGTGCTGACGCACAGGATCTTCTTCTGAACGATGTTCGCATCCTCATAGAGTCCTCATAGCTCCTCTTGCTCAGTTACCACTTGAAGTAAGATGTAGAACCTGGTGCGGGCTGCCAGGCATACAGAAAAGGCTGAAGCTTTGTGGGTCCCTCCCGAGGCATGCCAAGGGCCAGGTGTCTCCGGCGCTTTCTGCCTACCCTGGCTGCATGGTGCTAAAGCCACAGTCCTGCCTTGGCCCCTGGGAGGAGTCCCCGGGAATAGCGTGGCAGTGTGCCAGAGGTTTATGTCCGTGCTTGTTAGCATTTGCAAACCTGACGTGCAGTGACTCCTGGTAAGCTCTGGAAGGGTGCTTGTTGGGGAAACAGAATCCAGACAGAGCACAAGAGGTCGGGGCTGGACAGAGCGAGCACAGCTAGGTCCTGCACTTGGGATTTCGTGATTTCTATACCGATGATTCCCTTAGCATCATGAGTGTTTTTCTCTTTCAGACTCAAGAAACTCGAGAGATCTTACATTTCCACTATACCACGTGGCCTGACTTCGGAGTCCCTGAGTCACCAGCCTCATTCCTGAACTTTCTTTTCAAAGTTCGTGAGTCAGGGTCTCTCAGCCCGGAGCACGGCCCCATCGTGGTGCACTGCAGCGCCGGCATCGGCAGGTCGGGGACCTTCTGTCTGGCCGACACCTGCCTCTTGTTGGTGAGGAGGCCTTTGCGGGCTCTCAGGAGAGAGACACATTTGAACCCAACCCTGCCTGGCCACAGCTCTCCAGTCACCGTCCCCACACGTGCATTCCTCAGGCAACAACCAGCCTTGGCTGTTGCTTTTGTTTTCTTCAGTACTGGGGACCGAACCCAGGACCTTCACTCTGAGCTACATTCTTAGTCCATTTTTTTTAGTTTTTATTTTGAGACAGTCTCACAAAGTTACTAGTTGCCCGGGCTGGGCTCGAACTTGTGATCCTCCTTCCTCAGCCTCCCAAAGTTCCCCTCCCTCAGTAATTCCCAAAGGAATTACCCGTATATGTCACCACACTGAGCTGTGACCTCTGCTTTTTAACAGCTTCTCCATGGTAAAGTGGCTTTGCCTTAAATAGCTCTTCTCATAGACTGTTCCCCGTCTGAAAGCGGAATCCAGGTAGCCAGAGTCTTTCGCACTCCTTCCAAATTGTTTTCAGCCCTGTGCCCAAAGGGTCCCGGTTTTGCCCCATTTTCTGGAATTCTCTGCCTGCGCCTCTGTGATTTTCCTAGTTAGAAAACAGCGCTCCTGCTGCTGAACGTGGGAAGTCCCCTTGCCCTGGACAGTCGGCACCGGCTGAGTCTGGTCTCTGTCTGACTTGCAGATGGACAAAAGGAAAGACCCTTCGTCGGTGGACATCAAGAAAGTGCTGCTGGAGATGCGGAAGTTCCGGATGGGGCTGATCCAGACGGCCGACCAGCTGCGCTTCTCCTACATGGCCGTGATCGAAGGTGCCAAGTTCATCATGGGAGACTCCTCGGTGCAGGTCAGCTTGGCTTCGGCTGGCCCCAAGTGCTGGCACTTGCAGTTTTGTCTTTCTGTTGTTGGGTCTGTTTTGTGCTGCTGGGGATCAAGCCCAGGCCTCTGCATGCTAGGCCGGCGCTCTTACACTGCGCCACTCGCCCACAGCCTGACCTGGGTTTGGAGGGCGCTGTCAGTCGTAAGTTCCCATACTGTCAGGTGTCAGAGGAAGCAGCTGTCCTTCGTATTTAAAATAGCTGAAAAATGGTCTAAACGTTTGCCAGCTCCCAGTTTCTGCCGTTGAAGTGCTCGCCCAGAGGGACTGATAGGACACAGACTTGATTTTCCAGAGATTTCCCCCTCCAGGTGCGGGCCGGAGGCAGCGCAGCTGAGCCCCTTGCCGAGGGATACCACAGCTCACCTGTGGAGAGCGGCTTTCCTGCCGATCAGCCAGAGGGGAACGCTGACAGCCCCTCTTCTGCTCTTTAAGGACCAGTGGAAGGAGCTTTCCCACGAGGACCTGGAGCCCCCACCTGAGCACGTGCCCCCTCCTCCCCGGCCACCCAAACGCATCCTGGAGCCACACAATGGCAAATGCAAGGAGTTCTTCTCAAACCACCAGTGGGTAAAGGATGAGAGTGAAGAGGATAAAGATGGCCCCATCAAGGAAGAAACCAGAACCCCCTTAAGTGTCCCCTACAGCATGGACAGGTACTGTAAGAGGGCCTGGCTTGTTGGGGTAAGGGGAAGTGACCTTCTGTCTGGAAATGCATGTCTCCCCTCTGCAAGCCATGCGTCCACGTCCTTGGGAAAGGCAGCCACCTTGGAGGGCTGTCCCTCTCGAGGATAGAGGGTGCTCTCTTCTGTCCTGTCCAGTCCAGGGTGGCCCTAGGAGGCCACCCGCTTCCATAGCACTCTAGCTCCACCTTGTGGTGCTCATTGGAATTGGGTTCCGCGTACTTGATAGTGGGACAGGGATCACAGTGCCCATCCTGGGCTTCTGGCGGGTCCTGAAATAGGAAGTCCAGCTGACCACATAGCTTGAGTCCCCAGGAGAGACTTTGGGGAACGTGACCCTTCTGTGTGTTGTGATTAAATTCATTGCATTCTGCTTCCTTACATTGACACAAACCTCAGTGAGCACCTCTGAATGCATACAGAGTGCTGAGAGAACACTGGAACATGCCCCGGTCTGTCGCAGACCGTCCGGTGGAATGCAGCAGATGTGGGGTGTTGCGTGGTGGGTGCTGAGGTGGTCAGAGAAGACTGAGGAAGAGGCACTGCCAGAAGCTTGGAGAATGACTGGGGGGGCGCCCTGGGTGCTTCCCTCTGGGGGAAGTTTTAGGGTGTGTGCTTTGTCTCAGGAGTGGTGAACATTCCAAACGGAGCCCGCAGCGATTCTCAGACAAGCACACAGAGGTGTGGAGGGTGGTTGTACTCGCTGCGGCATCCTTGGCGGGGGTAGAAATTAGACAGTTGGGCCTGAGTGTCTGGGGATGAGGCGGGCAGTATCCTGCTAGGATATACTGCTGCTGGTGGAGGAGATCTGGGTGCACCAGCTGGCCAGGTGTGGGGGCAGCACCTGAGGAGGGGGGTGTGCTCACTTCATACACCAGGGGTCGCTGAGCTGCACAGTGGCTGATTACCCAGGCGCCCCTGCACCTCACCCTGGCACACAGACTGCCCGAGGTACCACAAAGCTGGGGGTAACAAGTAGGCCTCAGGCCAATGCCAGTGTCTGTTCTAGCCTGGTCCTGTGGCTGGCTGGCAGGGGTCAGTGTCACCATCACCTTCCTACGTAGAACTGCTCTGTAATAATAGTGTAATAATAGTAACCCGTCTCTCCCTTCCCTCCCCAGCAGGAGCCGAGACACTGAAATTAGAAGTCGGGTGGCGGGCGGAGGTCTGCACAACACCCAAGCCGCCTGCCCTGCCAAGGGGGAGCCATCGCCGCCCAAGGAGGAGGAGCAGGAGCACGCACCCGCTCCCTGGAAGCCCTTCCTGGTGCACGTGTGCATGGCCACGGTGCTCACGGCCGGTGCGTACCTCTGCTACAGGGTCTGTTTCCACTGACCACGGACGCGCCGGGGAGGCGCGCGAGCGAGCGCAGGAAGCTCTGGCCGCGCCGGGCAAGGATGCAGCTCTGGAGCATCTGAGCCAGTCTCAGAGCAACGGATCGAGGTGTGAAAGTCTGGAAGTGTGGAAGGGCTAAGAGAGAAGTCAGGATTGCTGCACTGGGGCTTTAAGGAGCCCTGCGGTCCCAAGAATATAAGAGTCTAATCTCAGGGCCTTAACCTATTCAGGAGTAAGTAGAGAAAATGCCAAATACGCGTCTCTCTCTCTTTCTCTTTCTCTCTCCCTCCCTCCTGTCCTCCCTTTTCTCCCCCATCTCCTCTTTCTCTATCGCTGTCTCTCTTTTTTTTGTTCATTTGTTTTTGAAAAAATAGAATTACAACACATTGTTGTTTTTAACCTTTATAAAAAGCAGCTTTTTGTTATTTCTGGAAAAAGACGACTAGGCACTTACAAAACTTTTTTGTATCCTTACTAGATGGTGTAATGAGATACACAATTTATATTTGATTTCCCAGGGAAAGAACCCCAACCTTTTACGAATGTAAACTTCCTTGGAGGAAAGGGTTAGGACGCTGCGGCGCAGGCTCCCCCTCCGCCGCGGGCACCCTGAGCCTGGACAGTGCCTGCGAGCTTTCCCGTTCCGGGAAGAGAACACCGGGGCATCTCTAGAAAACAAGCCTGCTTTGCTCAGGGTGCCCCTGCTCAGTTCTCCACCCATCCCTCCTGGTGACAGCCATCTTGCTCGTGCACCGGCCCTCATCACCCCATTCCTGCAGGCCCCTGCGCAGGGTCATGTTCACCCCCAGGCTGGCTGCTGGCATTTCACCCTGTGGTTCCCACCTCATTTAGAGAATACGTGCCATTTTGGTAAAAGTCCACACCTTACAAGTGTGCTGCTGTTACAGAGAGGGAAGGGACGGGGTAGCCTTAGAAACCATGGAAATTATCTCGCAGGGTTTTTTTTTCATCCCTTGAAATATTTTACCTTTTCCCGGGTGGCCATCTTTGAGTGTGTCAGATGGTTTAGCAGAATGCAAACATTTTTTTCCTTTGGGGTGATTTTTGGGGAAGGAGGTTATCAGAGAAACACCCACACCCCTCCTTGGCTCCCTTGGAGGTTGGGGTGGCCGGGGTCGTGCAGAAATCAGACAGCTGCCGTGTGGGTCCGGGCTCCTCTGGAATGTTTGGCTTCATTCCAGTCCCTGCCCAACAGCAACCCAGCCTGACCCTCCTCCGACCATCTCCACCCACTGTCCGCCTCCGCTCCCAACTAGCAGGCCTGCCGCGGTAGCTAAGGGCCGCCGGACAGGGCAGCATAGAGCCGAGCTGAGCTGCTCCCTGGCAGGGCGCCTGCACAGTGCTCAGACTGCCACCTGGGGCTGTGTGTCACCCCTTCTCCTTGTACTTCCCCTCCCCCTTCCGTGAGTCCCGAATCCACGACCGTTCTTCCGAAAGAGCAAAAGAGAGGACCATGCTGGTGACCCTGCAGGTGGTGGCCCTCACCAGCCTTGGGGCTCCCCACCCCTCTTGGTGGGTCCTAGCGTGTCCCAGGCAGGCCGCGCGCCACCCTCTTCCCCGGAGGTCTCTATGTTGTCTATGTGGACTAAGCCTCTCCACTCTTTATTTATTTTTAATTCCCCCCCCCAGGCATCCATACTGCACTAGCATTTATAAACCAATAATGTATTAAAATTTTTTGATATCAGCCACGTCAGGGGCTTTATCAAAAAGTACAATAATAAATCCTCAGGTAGTACTGGGAATGCAAGACTTCGCCGTGAGCCTGCTGCGTCAGCCCAGTGCTGGGAAGGAGGACGGTTGTCAGCAGCTGTTAGGTAGTGATGCTGTGGGTACCGCGAGAAGCTAGAACACTGCTCTACTATATAATGAACACTTGGGTATTTAATAAGATACATGACGTGAGATGACTTTGTCCCGGGTCTTCTCCTCCCCCACTATCTGCTAGAACCTTGTTCTCAATCACCGATTTCCCTGTGTGTATTAGAATGCATGTAAGGTCTCCTGTGTCCCCGTGAAATACCATGTGCTTGAGACGAGAAACTTAGATTCCTGCTTACTAACGTGCCCATGTCCAAGTCCGGTCCACCTCTGCGTGGTCTGACCGTTCCATGGCCGTGGTTCCTGGGCTGTTGCTGAAGTAATCACTGTTCAGCAAGAGAGCAACGATGTTTTCCAGTAGCAGATAATGGCCTAATTCCTGGCATGACACGCCGGTCACTTCCTGGCGAGGCCCAGTCTGCCCTGCCCCGGCCGGGTCCACTGTAACTGAGACATTCCAAGGGGACGGCCAGCCCTGTTCACACCTCACGCTCCGGACATGTGGGGTCGGCCTCTCCGATCCCAAGTCCGCCCTCCTCACGCCGAGCAGAGCGTGGTGTGGCAGCAAGGCAGCCGCGGGAACCACTGTCCTTGGAGCGGCCTGGGGACGGTCCCTAGAGTCAGCCTGCACCGTCTCCATCCCGGTTTGCCTCGCCCAGAGGTGTCTGCCTGCCCTTGAGCCCCGTGGGGACTGATGGTGCTCACGACTCTTCCTCGAGAGGAACTTAAGGCCTCCACATTCGGTGGCTTTTTAAATAAGAAACAAAAAGGCAGCTGTAGCTCCCGAGCTGCTCTCTTGCCAGCATTTCACATTTTGCCTTCACGTGGGAGAAGCCCGTACAGAGCGATTCTGTGGCGGAGCCGTGGTGAGGTGTGGAGGAGGCTGGGCGCCAGGCCGCGAGCATCTTTGCGTTGGGCTTGTTTCCTTGAAGTCCTGTACCTGTACGTAGTCGTTTGGGTGTGTATATACAGTAGCCTTTCCAGTGGCTGTCCGGGTTTAACCCCTGTCCTGGGAGACAGGTGGCTCTCCATCTTGTTATGCGTATGTTAGAGAGGTAGCGAGCTGCTCTGCTATATGCCTTAAGCCAATATTTACTCATCCGGCCGTTGTTTTTTACAGTGGCCACGGAATAAACCATTTTTAGAGAAATAAAAACAAAACAAGTGAGGTGTTCAGTATAATACCTTTTCAGGTGTGTGTATACGTGGCTGCATGACTGGGTGGGTGGGGGGCGTGTCTCAGGGTCTTCTGTGACCTCACAGAACTGTCACACTGTACAGTTTTCCAACTTGCCATAGAAATGATGGGTTTGCATTTTAGTTGCAATAATAAAAACATTTTTTCTAAAGAACATGGCTTCGGGTTACTTCCCGTTTCTTCGCTTAACGGACCTGAACCAGGGTGGGCACCTGTTCGTCTCCATTCTGTCAGTGTGAAACATCTGGCGTCGGTGCAGCAGCCATACTCTCCTGGGATCCAGAGCACGGGAGCCGGAGAGCACTCGCTCACTGGCAAGCCTCGCACGCAGCCTCTGCCCGTGACCTTCATAGTCCCACCCTTCGCCCGTACAGGGCGCCTGGCTGCCTTAACAGGACTTCCCAAGCGGTTGAAAGACCTGTACTAACCTCACAGCTATCGTACAGCCAACAGCCTGCCAAGCACAGTGGTCCCACCTCGTGTGGTGGCAAAGTCACACCTGATAGACTTAGAAATTAAAGCGGCATATAAAAAAAAATCAGTATAGTCTTTCCTTTGTGGACAAAACTAAACAACAAATCTTATCCCAAAGGGATATTGTGACTTCCTGTTCTGAAGTAACTGCAGACTTGCACAATGCTGCAAAAATAGCAAAGAATTCCCTTACATCCTCCAAGGTTACCTGCAGGGCCCGCAGGGCAGAGGTGGTGCGACCGCAGAATGCCACGGAGCCTGGGCCCCGGGACGGCAGTGTCAGTCCGGGCGGACTTGGGATCGGAGAGGCCGAGCCCACATGTCCGGACAGTCCGCTGTCTCCTTAAGGGTTCAGCTGTGGAAACTGGCAGTAGGTGCTCAAGAACCGGCAGGGCGCCTGTGGGAATAAAGATCGAACTCCTGACTTAGAGACGGAGGTGCGGGGGTAAAAGGCCTCGCTGCAGGGTGGGTGGCCATCAGCAGAGGGCAGCCTGGGAGTTCCCGCGCCTGAGGTCACCCTCCTTCCCACGCCCTCATGTGCCGCGCAGCCGCGTCAGGACAGGGCACCAGGACGCGGGGCTGACTCCCTTGGAGGTTGGCTGAGGAAACAGCCACAATCTCCTTTTTTCAGGTGAAGTGAAACACGCATTGAAGTAGCTTTTTAATTGAAATTTCAGAAGTTGGAACATATGAACAAGGCAAATAAATACTAAGTTAAACCAAAAAAAGCACAAAATATATACACAGGAAATTTAAATGAAAACATGTAAGTCACAAAGCTCTCCAATGCCATCCTTGACAGCAGTGCTCAGATCCCTCCTTAGCGCTACATTACTAACAGAGGCATCTCAGGACATGGCTTTTGGAAAAAATACACTTAAATAGGAAACAAATTTTCTTTCTCTAAAGCAACATGCTGTTCAGTGGAATCTTCCTTTGAGCCAGCCCTGGCTACTGGAGCAATTTAACTGGCCATTGGTCGACTTGTTTCAAAAGTTGGAATCCATTTGGGTGTGTATGGCCAGAGCAAATGGCTTAGGCCTTGTCGCTGCAGAGACCTGGGCCAGCGTCTTGTCAGCTTTGCTTTGTGCTGGTGCATGTGGTGAAAACGAGGCTCGCGGCCGGCCGGCTGTTGTCCCGCTCCGCTGGCATCTGAGCTGCGGCTCAGCTTGAGGGTGGCTTGTCGAAACCCTGGCTTGGAGCCTCCCACTTTCTGCAGCTCGCCAGGGTGACAGAGCTGCTGTGGAAATGAAATGACTCTTGAGCCACCGCAGTTTTTCATTAGCTCAGCCCGCCAGCTGGACCAGCAGCCCACCTCCTCAGCGCCAGGATTTACGGACCCAGCGGCAGAGCGGCCAGCGTACAGGGAAGCACGCGAGCTTGTCCGCCCGGGCCTGCCTGGCCGCAGCCCTGTGTACGTGGCTGGCTGCTGCCGCCAGCTGTGCATCCTGAAGCAGGTCAGATAGGTGCCCGCAGTGAGGCTGGGATGCTCAGTGGAGGCTGCGGCCTGCAAAGTGCTGAATGTCCCCTTGTCCCCGGGGCTTTGTGGGTGCGCTGTCGGGCTCTGGCCTGCTCCCACTTGGGGAGCGCCAGCACACGCCACCCTGACCTCCGCATCGCACTGCAGCTGGGCAGCAGCAAGGAAGTGCTGCTCTCCAGATTGGGCTCATGTGCTGAGGCTTTTTAGAATATTGTGATTTCAACATCTGCCTCCTGGCAGAAACCATCTCTTTGTTCTGCATGAAGTTTGTCCATCTTCTCAAAAGCTAAGCGTCCTTTTTCTCCTAAAATAGAAAAGTGATCAGTCTCTCAGGGGTTGCCTCCCGCCTCAGTTCCTACACTGCCAGACCAAAGGGGACCTGAGCACTTAAGCATGGGAATTTGGGGGTCCCTGTAAAAGGGGCCATGGTGGGAACCTTGGGGGAGCTCCCACCTGGTGACTTGCAGACCGAGCCTCCCCACACCAGTGACGGTCTGCCTGTGACAAAGTGTGCCAGCTTCTGGCCCTGCCTTGCCCCTGGTGTGTGTACCCCAAACACCATACTGAAGTCGTAGAAGAAAAGAAGCATGTGCCACTCTGCTGTGCGGGAAAGCTGCCCCGGCTGGGTGCTGCTACGTGTAAAGGGTGACAGGGCACCGGGGCCCGTGACGGTGCTACCCAAGGGCCGCTCGAGGTCTGAGGGCCACAGGCGGCCTCCGCTAAGAAGCCCAGGGACCCCACTGCACTCGATGAGAGCATGACGTTCTACTTTACCAAACGACAGAGTGGCTTCCCGGGCTGCTGCTCGCACGGCCTCTAGGTCAGACTGGCACAGGCTGGCGATCTGGTCAATGCTTTCGATGCCCTGCTTGAGGTGAGGAAAACAAAGCTCCAGGAGGGGACATTTTAGCTAACGAGTAGTGGGTTTGGAACGTGGCTCAGTAGCGCGATCCTTGCTACCGTGTTCACGGCCCTGGGTTTCGTCCCCAGCACCGGGAAAGTGGGAGGGAGGGAAGGGGAAAAATAAACAGCAGGCAGAACCCACTTCTGTCCTGCGAGCCTGGCCCAAATGTAGTCTCAGGGCCCACCAGGCTTATGCGGCCACAGGCCCCACAGAAGCACATCCTGACACCTGCTAGTGAGCAAGGCCATCTTTATGGACACCCTCCTCCAAAAGACCCCAGTTGAAAATGAGACCTGCTTCCTGCTGGACCTTGCTACTTCCTCGTGGCTTCTCCCCTCCCCACCCACCCACCCAACCAGGGCAGCTTCGCTGAGTCCCACAGGCCCAGCACCTCCTGCCCTGAAGCGTCCTCTGCTGGCCCCAACCTCCCGCTGGGCATCTGGTCCAAACCAGGTGCTCCTCCTGGGCTGTCCACTTGGCAGGTTCCAGAATGAGTGGGGTGAGGCAGTTTGGTCTGTGTGGAACTGGCTCTCACTAGCGAGTGGGGGGTGGTGCTTAGAATGCAAATGCCAAGTATAGGCGAGAGAGCAGAAAGTGGGCATCTACAGGAGTGCCGGTGGGAGCCGCGAGGAGTCTCGAAGCGGTTCATGTCTTCTGGCCCTGGACAGACATCTGGGGAGTCCTGCCTAGGGAGGAGCTCCGCAACCTGGTATGGCTTTTTGAAAACTTTATGCACAAAAATGCACATAGTGACATCATGATTTTTAGAATGGGTAAAAACCCTATATTTTCTGAATGGGTAAATAGGTTAATTTAAGGTTTATACTTGCTAAGACTCTTCATGAAGAATTCTAAACTGCTTCCGGTCTAACACAAAAAGGTCTTATTTTGTTCACTTTTTAAACTCCGTGTGTGTGTGTATGTGTGTGTGTGTGTGGTTGAAACTACATACTGAGCTACATCCCTAGCCCCCCACTCCACCTTGTGAGACAAGGTCTTGGTAAGTCACTATATTGCCCAGGTAAAGCATCAACTTGGGATCCTCCTGCCTCAGCTTCCTAGAATGCTGGGATTACAAACGTATTCTACCACATCTGGCTTTAAACTATGTTTCATGTGGTCAACAACTTTAAATGCCCACATACTCCCACAAAAGGGAAATATGCCAGGATGTCAACATTGTTTCTGCTAAGTGCTGGAATGATGGGGGATGCACATTTCTGTATTTTGTAGTCTTTTTTCTTTCCCCGTGAGTTTGGTATACTTGGAGTGTGTTGAGAATTATAAAGCACAAAACCCAGGAGCTCGGAAGTGAGTCCCTGGGGCCACCTGTTCGCCATCATTCTCCCCTCTCTGGGTCCCAGAGAAACTATTCTAAGGTTCGCAGTTACTTTAGCACTAACCACAAGCAGGCGACCACCAGCCGCCGCGAGGACTGCTCGGCTCACCTGGAGCTGCCGGAGCGCCATGCACGCAGCCCGCTGGAGCCTGGTGTCACGGTCAGTCAGGGCGTCAGTGTAGAAGAGCAGGGCCTGGGAGGGAAGGGTGGGAGTGAAGGCGGCATGCTGGGAAAGCAGAGCCGGCGGCCGGGGCCAACAGAAAGGAAGCTCTTCTCATCGCTAAACAAGACCTGCAGTCTCCGGGCGCGGGGTGCACGCACAAGACATGCCACGGGGTTTCATTCTGCCCCAGACTGACCTGGGGCTGGCGGAAATAAAAGACAGAAAGCTCTTTTTGTCTGATAATGACTCAGAAAGGCTTTCCCGAGGTGCTGTCCTGTGAAATGCTCCATCAGAGAAGTCACACATGTGGCGCTGAATAGGAGGCAAATTGAAGGTGCAGGAGAGTCTTCCTCGTGGGCTCAAAGTGGATGAGGCCGTTGCCCTGGCCAGGAGCCAGGAGGTCTCTGCCCCTCCTCTCCCTTTCCTGGTCCCAGCTCTGACCCCACCCTCATCACACACAGCCAAGTCCCAGCACCCTTTGGACCTAGGGACACAGCTAATGGTGAAGCCGGCACTCGTTTTGCCACCTGTGGGAGGGGTCCGTTGAGAGCTGGGCAGGCGTGCCCGCCCACGGGGGCCTGAGAACCTAGGTGTGACCACGTTGTCCACTGCGAGAGCCAGGTCAGAGGGCCCAGACAGTGCTGGTGCTGAGGGCCCCATCTGCCTTTGTGGCTGCAGGTGACCCTTCTTGAAAAAACTGGGGCGGAGGTGTAGCTCAGTGGTGGAGCACGTGCTTAGCGTACAGGAGGCTGGGTTCCATCCCCAGGGCCAAAAAGTGAAAGGCTGCTTGGGAAAAGAGGCTGGAGTAAGGCTCCAGAATCCCAACGCAGGACACTAGACAGAGCCCTTGGGACCGCAGTATGGAAATGTCACCGGTCTGCCCGGTGTATCTATTGCTAAGGGAACACAGCCTCCCACCCAAGGTCTTTGCTATCCTACAAAGAGGCACGTGAAACACCTGTACCAAGAAAACCAAAGTAAACCAGCAGAGCCTGTAAAGCCAGCTGCTAACTTTCAGGAACCATGGAAGACAGAGAAATAGGTTACACTCTAACAGGCAATCAGCAGTCAAGATTGTAGAGGGCAATACAGTCTCCTCAACAAATGGGTTGCAAGGGGAAGAAAACTAGAACCTTCAGATTAAATGAAATTTAAAAGACATCAGCCAATCACTGTTGCACCTATGCAATCCTATTTAGCAAAAAAACAAAAACTGCTATGATATCTGAGAGTTGGAAATGTGACGGTTAGATATATTATACTGAGGAGTTAATGGATATTTTTCTAGATGTGATAATGGTATTGTAGCTAAGGATTTTTAAATGAATTCTCATCTTTTGACTCATGCACACAATGGACTATAAGTCAAATAAGATGTCTAAGACTGCTTCAAAATATCATGGGGTGGAGATGGGTGGATGGATGGGTGGTTGGATGGATGATGGATGGATGGATGGGGTGGGTGGGTGGA